AGCACACCAGTATATTTCTATTATAAAAAATGAGTATTATTACTTCTTATTGAATGACGAGAGTACCAACCTAATGTAAATAGATTGATGGATACTTATTTCACGAAGGATATGAATGTTTAAAATTGAAAGAGAAATTTTGACCCATTTAGTCGGTAACATTGTACCTACATAATATACATATGCCTATATAAATGCATTTTTGGAACTCTTTCAGTCGTCCAGGTAGAATAAATACAGATTTGTTGTCGAATGCCCATAATGTATTGGTTTTCAAACGAAATACTCTTATTCTTTTGCTCTTGGGTAAAAACCACTTTCAATACCTGAAATTTCTTTATTCCTCTTTTGCTTTTTTGGTTCCCAAAAATGTGCATCGCCTACTTCAGTGGTCGGACCTTTTCATTCATCACCGGCAAGTACCTCTTGCGTATGCCCGGATTTAAAAACACAATGAATGGCAAGTTTTAACCCCGACAAGTTTTTGCAAGTCCGGACTGAAGGGCCCACGGTGACCGCTCATCATATTCAAACTATTTCCTTTGGTAAAATTTTTAAATATATTCGCGAATAGTTTTAAACTTTATACTGCTGCTTATAGGTTGCTGATCAGTGACCAAATCAACAGCAATTACTTGATATAATTTAGAATATCCTGGAAAAAATTGTTAGTAAAAGTTATTGGGAGATGGAAGACATTTACTAAAAGCATTGAGAAGTCATAATTATGTAAAAGAAACGTTGAATTTCACAGTACCAACGGTTTTCGAGTGCGGTTTCAAATAGGTATTGTACTTTCTGGTATGACTCCTGCTAAAATGATAAAACTAATAAAAGGCGCTCCTGAAATTACAGGAAGATGGAAGGTATCTACTAAGCTTTAAGAAGTGATAATTATGAAAAAAGATAGGTAGAACCTCATGGTGCCAGCAGTTTTAGAGTGCGATATCAAATAGATACTTTGCGGCAGTATTTTCGTTGAAACAATAATAAACATAAAAAAGCGGTCGTTAACTTATTGGAAGATGGAAGGTATTTACTAAGTTTTAAGAAGTGAAAAATATGTAAAAACATACGAGGAATCTCTTGGTGCTATTGATTTTCTAGTGCGGTATCAAATGGGTAATTTTCGGCGTTATTTTCGTTAAAATAATAATAAACATAAAAAAGCGCTCGTGAAATTATTGAATGATGGAAGGTATTTACTAAGCTTTAAGAAGTGATAATTATGTAAAAAAATACGTAGAATCTAATGGTACCAACAGATTTCGAGTGCGGTATCAAATGGGTACTTTCCGGGGTTATTTTCGTTAAAATAATAATAAACATAAAAAAGCGCTCGTGAAATTATTGGAAGATGGATGGTATTTAAAAAGCTTTCAGAAGTGATAATTATGTGAAAAAGTACGTAAAATCTTATGATGCTAACGGTTTTCGAATAGGATGTCAAATGTGCACATTTCGGCCTTATTTTTGCTAAATCGTTGAAAGTAATTNCATAAAAAAGCGCTCGTTAAATTATTGGAAGATGGAAGGTATTTACTAAGCTTTAAGAAGTGATAATTATGTAAAATGATACAAAGAATGTAATGGTATCAACAAATTTCGAGTGCGGTATCGAATAAATATTTTGTGGCATTATTTGATTCTACACGACAAAGAAAAAGTATTTTTATACAAAAAATATGTTTAAATTTTGTAGAGAGGACGACAGAAGGTATGTCACGGGTTTTATACAGTGTACGCACCATGATATTTTTGTAGGTGTTATTTTTAAGGATAATTTTACGGTTTTCACATGTTCGAGTAGGATAAGATGTCAATCACATTTTGAACGCTCCTTTTCCAAGGGTTCTTGTTCTTTATGACTAGCTTAGGTAAATTGGTATATTTGACAGAGTATTATTCGGCTTTAGTGGCACTTTTTTCGGCTTTTGGTCTTATAATACATAATTTTATGTTTCATAAACGAAACAACATTTTACCGTACGTCGTAGACACATTTTGAAAACTAAAATTATAACTTAGTTAAAGATCTTTACTTTTATGTTTATTTAGTTAAACAGAAAAGTTTTATTTAAATTTATTTCCAGTTTTATTACCGATTAATACTTCTGAAGAAACATAAATTTAAGGATCATTTTTGTACATCTTTATCTGCCTACAGTAGAATTCGTTTATTATGACTCCGCCTATATTGCCAACCGCTTAATATGAAGTAATTGCAGTGTTAACTTTGGTTTTCATATTGAATTCTCTATAGGAAAGTTTAGACCTAATGACTCCGTTTAAAATGACATATCGTTTATTATGACTGATTCTCGAAAAATCATATCCGGATATAGTGACCCAAATGATCAATAATAACATTTTCGCTCATTTTTCTGACCCTTCTTATGTATATTGATATTACAATTCATCGTTTTTTTTTTCTTTTTCTGTTAATAAGTATATATAATTACGTCCGCTTAGTATGACGTGTTTGTCATTTCCCTTCGATGTCATTATAAGCGGATTCTACTATATATACTTTTTAAGTGTGGTGTGTGGCTTTCCTTTTTTATAGTTTAAATATTCAGTAGCATATAGGCCACGGACCTATTAAAAATCGAATGGTATCGACTTGCGTCTATTATTCGTTTTAAATAGTATTTCCGCATAAGACGCACGATCGACCAATCATCCGTCAAAAAACTGTCCGCCTACATTTACCTGAGAATGTGACAACTTGCGTCCGATAGCGATCGGTCAGGAAGCAGTCTAACAAATTTCGGATCTACGATATTTTTTCGCTGTTATTTTCTATTTTGCCAATCTGTAACAGTTGCTTGTTACAGTTCTGGCGTATTTTTTTTCTGTGCTTGTCGAGTGGCCGACGAAACAGTTGGCGCTGAAACTAAATCCTGGTAGGATTCACTTCCTTTATTTTTGGTCTGAACCGTATAGTGTGGTGTACCATACAGGCATATAGCATAACACGGTTCGAAGTAAATAATAGGGACATTTCATGGTATTCTACTTAGTAAGATTACCCCAATTTCGGCCGTTATTATTAAAGGTGATTATAGTATGTAAATAATGATGATATGTTATTACCTTACTGAAAATATGACTAGGCTATTATGTTGTCGTATACAAATAAAATAAAGATGTTATTAAGCTATTAATATATTTCTGAAAATATTGGATGTTAAAACCATCGTGGACGGAAAAGGGTAAAAATGAAGAACGGTTAGTCCTAAATCTTTTAAGGAGTTAGATGTCATAAACAAGTATATAAATGACCAGATTTATTAAAAAACGAATCAAGCGATGTCTCTTACATACTCTTTTATGTATGTGAAGATAGCAAGTCTGTAGTTAAGACATTAAAAGCCCTTAACTTTCCTAACCCTATATCTACCGTTACTTAATTTTTTACGAATTTTTTACCGTTTGAATAACTCAAACACGAGCAAAAGGGTAAAATTGAAGAATGGTTAGTCCTAAATCTTTTAAGGAGTTATATATCTGATTCGGCCACAATCAGGATCAAATTATGTAATCTATATTTAGGTGCACACAGTAAAATGTCGCTGTTATTATTTCGGATTCTTAAGGCGTTTTAACGGTCTTGATACGGATACACATATGTCTATGATAGTCTTTTTTTTACAAGGGTAACTACCCTTGTATAACTATTTACGTCTATATAGAAGGCAGTGAACCATAATATAATACTACCTATATGTATATACCTAGATGTCGATGGTGAATCAGCAGCTGCTGTAACGCTTATAATATAAGAAAAAATCAACGAATGTGGTCGATAAAACCAAAATCCCAATATACATTATTTATTTATGTATATGTACGTAAGTATATAAATAAGGAGTCCCTCGATATTTCAGGAAAAGAACGAAAAACGTCTTGGCTTCCTTCAGTTCTCCACTCGTGTTGTGTTTTGCTATTTTTGTTTAGGGGAGGAAAAGATCATTAATAAGATGAAGGAAGAAATGGGCGGCGAATGGGGATGATGAAATTTTAATGCGTCGTGTAGGTAAGTGTGCTCGCAACAGTGTACATCTGGTTAATTACTACGACAGAAGCGAAAGTGTTTTATGGAGAAACTAATTAACGAAAAGTAGGTTTAAAAATTATAATAGTAGGAGTAACCCCGCCTTGTTTTTTAAGGTAATGGTTTGTCTTTCCATTTGGTATAAATAAACCTAAAAGCAAACAATTTGTTTAATTGATTGATCGCCACCCTGGATGTAAACAATAAACTTTTTTTATAAGATTTTTAAGGGGGATAATTTCAAATATAACTAAACACTAGTTTTAAAAGGTGTTTTTTTATTAAATTTCTCAACTGTCTATACATATATGTAAAGTTACTTATTTAATTTTCTACACAATTGTAATAAACTGTAAATTTGTTAGTTATTTTATCTAACATCTAACCCATTTAGTCAGAAAAAAACAGCTGAAATGCAAAGAAAACTTTTTTTAACATACACTAACGGATTCCAGGGAAGAAAGTAGGTAGGTTACTAGTTGTTAAAAATGAAATGGTTTGTCAAGTTTCTAACAAAAAATAAATTGCCGTTTCTCCGTAAAACTCTCACGAACGAACGTTGGTTTTGTTGCATTACCTACATCGACAAAAAATACTGTTATATTAGGGGTAGATTTCTAAAAAAAGTTTCCTTTTTATTACCTTAAAAGTCGAACGCCTTTGAAGTTACCCAACTAACGGTTCCACTAGAAGGTACTAAGAAGTATTTTAGATGCGCATTATTGTCTAACTAATGGCAGAAAAAGGACATTTCTGTAGCTTCCTAATTTACTAATTGAATCGCAGGTAGGCAACAATTGTATGAAAGATATTGAATCTTGCGCCGATTAGACCTTACAGTTTGGTATAGACACTTCGTTAAAGTTTCAACAGTAATGCATTAATGTAAAATAATCAAGAGAATAAGAGAAAGTATTATAGTGTGAATAACAGGAATACTCACCGTTGTGATGGTAGCAACCAGTTAACACCGTTCCAGCATAGGACTTCCAGCAAATCTGCATCCCCATATGATAAAGGAAAGTCAAGAATAGCTGCAACAAAATCAAATAAAAATTTTTGAAAAATCTAGCCAATTTATAATTCAAAATATCTATAAAGAAGCCAAATCAAAAAAAGGTTTTTCTTATACTTCAGTTTATGATAATCAACCTTGTTTACCTCAGATGCGATTGAATATTTAATTTCGAAAAGATTCACTACTTCGAAAGTTTTAAAATAAAAAAATTAAGCACTAATTTGTAAAATCAATTTTTGTGAAAAAGAACAAAACCATCCCAGTAACCAAGGGCCCCCCATTTATCGTTTAATCCGCAACCACCTACGAACTTCCATATTACGCGTAAGCGCAATGAAAGTTGTAAGTAGCTGAAGATTAACCGATAATGAGCGTCAGCCTGGCCCAGCCGGATGATTAGTAATATACGACGTCTAGGCATATCTCTCCAGCTACTTCCTGAACCCTGCGTACACCTATGGCCACTCAGTGCACGGGCAGTACAATAACCTTCGAGATATAACCCTATTACCACCGATGTAACCAACTAGCCGTTCTCTTATACCTCTCGCGCGGCTTAAAAGTAGTGTGAGCGCTAAGCTTTAAACAATTTTACCTTTTTAATTTTACAAAAAAAATAAACCTTTTACCCTATAAATACCAACCAAAGGATAAACCGAAGTGATTTGTAGAATAATACTTCCCTATCATAAGTTAAAGATGAACTAACTACCACTAATCAAATAAAGAAGATGAACCTCGAATTTGTACTAACTTAAACTTGTTTTTCCTCAAATTATTTCTATTCTCGAAATAATTTAAAAACCAAAACCATATAAAGCACTTTAGTTAATTGTGTAATAATATATATAACAAAATTTCTGACACTGCGATACTCTCGAATATTTTATGTACTTACGATTACTTGTAAAATGAAGTCTTTGTTTGTACATTAAAAACAAATTTCAATTGATCTCAATCCAAGTTAAATTCATAAAAGGCAAAAGCAAATTAAAAACAAGAGGAAAATTCTGAAAATAACAAAGACTCACCAAAGGATAATGGTTGCTGTTAGTTTATGTTCAAACACAAAAGCTGTAGACTAACACATAACATCATCACCAGCACAATTGTCTTTTTCATAATAGTTCAACTGTTCACATTAAATTAAAACGATTTTTATTGAATATTTTACCATTCGAACCGAGACAAACTGTTTCGTATTTTTGGAAATTTTTGTACAATAAATATTGTAAATGCCAACACACTGAAACCAACAAGGCCGAGTTATCGCGTGATTTTCTAGTCAACTACGTACGGTTAGAGGCACGTAGAGGTGGAAAACTGTTGGCGTTATCAAAGAACCGAACAACGAAGGACACTCAAGGAGATATTATAGTAGAGAAAGGAAACATAAAAAAATGATAAATTTTAATCGTTCGTATCTTGAAAATGCCTGTATTAACTAAGAATTTTACTGTTTTTAATTTCAACAAAATTTACTTGAGAAAATCTCTGGAAGACAATTGCAATTTTCTGTTGAAACTAAATTAATGCTATTTTGTTTAATATTTCATGATCTTATCACAATAAATACAGTTACTTCTATACTCACGAACAGTTAATTTAAAAATTCGAAAAATATTGTTAAAGGCGTATGTACGAGTGCGCGGCGGAAAAGAAAACGTTAGAAGCGTTGGAAATGGCGAATGATGAGGGTACCGTTGATTTTAATTTTAAATTTATTAAGCGTAAGGCAGAATCTATTTCTTAATATAAAATTGGTGATACATAAAATGGATTGTACCGAAATTACATTATGGAAGGAATACGTTAAAGGATTAGTTTAATAATTTACTAAACGAACAAAATTTTCAAATGTGTATAATTCAAGGATATGTTTAGAACTCATATAGTTAGTAAATATGATATACAATAAAGGATAACACAGATGTATTATGGTTTGTTAGCTACGGCTATAGAATGGGGGCGCTGTGGAAGGACTTAGATTAGATTACAGTTCACAAATAGTTAAAAATGTGAGATGTTCTGGTTTTAGGGAAATTTTAGAAGATTAGCTCATGATAGGAAAGAGTGGAGGTGCGTGTCCAACCAGACTTAGGACTGACGACTTTATGATGATGATGATGATAATATTACAATAACTCCAATAACAATTTGCTTTTGTCTTCTAGAATAATTTTGATCACGAAATGTAAAATGTAATTAAGGTAAAGCTTTATATGCGTACATGTTTTGTTGTTGAACAGTAAATGCTTTCCCATGTATCCATTTCCGAATATATACACAATTCGATATCTCATAATAAACAACGTCCCACGCACAACAATAAGGACACACTCTACATGGTCCATAGATTGGAGAAAAAGGGGGTCGCGAAATCATCTCCCCCTCGAAAAAGGTGTGCGCGTTATCCGCAATTAAAGTCATTAGAGAGATCTAGTAATCCCCGGGGATTACGGCCGTTTCTTTAAATGTTTGAATGGTCAAAAGACCACTTTCAATTGTTAGTTATAAATGTAATGGCTACATCCACCCCTGCGTATTGTCCTTCTTTTGATCGGAACGCAACGGGACGCACTCCACTGACCGTCAGGACTGGACACTATACGTAGCGGCTTAAAGACGATATCCTGCAAAATAATTTATTGTTATCCCGATCACACGAATTTGGACGAAATCTAACAGCTGGTTACAACCAACGTACAGAAAAAGCAATTATTATTATTGGCGTTTTTGATCATATTACTACATGAAGTAAAAGGACAAAACTACCAAGGGAGTAGCCATTTTCAAAGTATTTTTTGATCCTTATACATCCTCTTATAACACTACATTTTAAACGCTTATAAAGGTTTCTACAAACTTAGTCATCATCATCATAAGGTCGTCAGTCCTAAGACTGGTTGGACACGCACCTCCACTCCTGAGCTAAACTTCGCATTTCCCTAAAACTAGAACAGCCCACATCCTTAACTATTTGCGAACATTAATCTAATCTAGGTCTACCTCTACCCCTCCTAACTCCTGTTTCTGCTTCTAATATGTCTTTAACTAGACCTTCTTGCCTGAGAAGGTGTCCTACCAACCTATCTCGCCTATTCCTTATTGACCTCTTCATTTCTAATCTTTTCTACCCACGTTATCCTCATCATCCGCCTAAAACACCACATTCCGAATGCTTCTAACCTTTTCTTTACCGCCGCGCCCACTGTCCATGTTTCGCACCCGTACAACGCCGAGCTCCAAACATACACCTTTAACAACCTTTTCCGAATTTCTAAATTAACTGTTCGCAAGCATAGAAGTGGCTTCTTTTTATTAAAGGCGACACGACCCTGCGCTATCCTCAGCTTTATATCCCTACTACTCCTTCCATCCTGACTTATCTGACTTCCTAGGTATCTAAAATCAGCCACTTCTTCTAATTTTTCGTCTCCTATCTTTATATTCGCTCTTTCCCTACTTTTTCTTCTTAGTGCTAAAAACCAAATCCATAGTCCGCTTTGATAACCGCATAAAATCCTAAGTATAAAAAGATGCATTCGTAACGGTCAATGTTGTGCGTTATTTTGTCCTTAAAGATCCCAGAAACCTACTGCTGAAAACCTCATTCATTCTCAGCCTTGTTATTTTGTCCTTAAACGTGCTCAGAAACCTACTGCTACCTTCATAATGATCGTGTTTGTTTCTTTTTTAATGTTATGAAGATCAAATCGTCTTCATGTATATCGCTTAAAATCTAATTTAAACTCAACAGTAATGTTTTGCTATATTTTATCCTTGTAAAAACCTCATTCACCTCACCCCATTTTGTATTGAAACAACCGCATAAAATACTGAATAAAAAAGATACCTTCCTTCATAATAGTCGTGTTTGTTTCTCTTTTTATTATATTATGAAGATCAAATCTTCCCCATTCATATCGCCCAAAATTTACTCTACAGGGATCCAATTTTAACGTCAGTGAGAGTGAAAGGGCAACCTTTCAATATTAGCCAACTACCTGCGATCAAGAAGCAAAAAACGCCACGTGCTATCACCCTCTTTTTTTTAAGCCGCGAGGGGCCCTATTAAATAAAGGAGGCGCGTGTGTACCCGTACATATGTACAGGATCATATTAAGAACACACTCTATCATTAGGTACTTCTTTTTTTATGCTATGTAACTGGGAAGTGTTGAATTCTCCTATTACGGCAGGGGAACTTAATACCTAATAAACTGATTTGACCCTTTTCGTCGACTCGAGTGTATGTAAAAAAACAGGGAGGGAGGGACTAACTAAGTAATTATTTGTGAGGGTTAAAATTTTAGGGAACTTTTTTATATAGACCCAAAAAGCGGTCCGCCTCTTTTATAGGGATAAAATGGTGGAAGAAACAAGTTCATTATCCTAGAATATTACTCGGTGTGCCACAAGGTTTCAAATAAGCGCCTCTATTATTTACGATATAAAAAAATGATGTGACTGATTATATGAAAAGCTTCCTACAAAGTAGTCATTATTTGAATTTGGTTAGTTTGTTGTGCAGTATTATAAAGACAAAAATTTTCAGTCTCTCAGGGTCTTTCAGCGTCTCTGAGAGCGTCTCTCAGCCTTTCAGAGTCTCCCAATTACTGCCTAGGTGTCTTTATGGATATCTCACAGTCTCTGTATGAGAGACTCGGACGATAAAATTGTTAATTCAGAAATTCGAGTCTCTCACAGAGAGACTGAATGAATAAAACTGAAAAATTGAGACTCGAGTCTCTCGTAGAAAGACTGGGATCACTGAAATATGTTGAACTTAGAAAATTTTAACCATGTCTATCGAGACACCATTTATTGAGAGATTCGAATCTCTCGTTCAGAGATTCCAATCTCTCGTTCAGAGATTCGAGTGTCTCGTTCAGATTCGAGTCTCTCGTTCAGAGATTCGAGTCTCTTGTTCAGAGACTGGATACGAAACATGGATCTCTCTATGAGCGACTCGAGTCTCTCGTTCAGAGACGCTAACAGTTTTTTTGACAGTCTCTCGACAGTCTCTCTCAGCGACACCAGAGAGACTCAATGAGAGACGGAGACTCGAGTCTCGCTTTCAGAGACTCTGAGAGACTGAACATTTTTATCTCGGAATAATAGTAAAATTATTGGGTTTCACTTATTGTTTTAGTAATAAGGGTATTTTTAATGTGATTGTTTTGGCAGTACAATAATTTATGTAGTTGTTCCTGTACTGGAGTGACCCTTTCAAAAACAATGACCTTCAATCAATATGGTCGACTGTCCACGATTAAGGTTGTGTTGGCGGGGGTTCCCCATTATTTCACACCCCGAATAGATATCATTTATTTATTGTATTTACGGTAAAGTGCGAGCCATATTTCTCATTTCAAGATAATGTATTGCAGAGTCGGCAGAAAACGCAGTTTGGTGTAAAAGGGAGCTTTAGGGCTCCTTTGTAGAGGGTGAAAAACATAGGCGCACTTTTGTAACGAGAAAATTTATCGAATGACTCATACGCACTGACCATCGGTCAGTGATGAGGGTGAGACGAATAATTAGAGTCTGAACATGATGTACCGAAAATAAATTATTTTTTGACTATTGATGATCTACTAATATGTGCAATTTTGAACTACTATTGTTTACAAAAGTCGAATTCTTATTTTTATTGTGTAAATATAAACATTATATTCCAATAAAGGTCGAATTACATACGTCCGTATCATATCCGTCACTTTCCGGGGGCACTAAATAAAAAAATATTTAAAAAATATCCATACCATGAAAGCGAATTAATTCATTTTGATCTTTTCACTATAGGACGACATTATACCTAGAACAAGGACATGGCACATCAGTGCTGACCATAATGTCTAATGACTTCATAGATTTATATTGTACATAAAAAACGGATGCATACCTAAGACGGTTACGCGACGGATACAAGACGTACATATGTGAGCCGACCTTAATGGTGCAGTAGCGGCGTGAAAATATTGAAAACGTTTCAATTTGCACTTACAACGTGTGGAAAACCGTTAGCATTTTTTTGGCTTGCATTTCGCTTTCGGTTCGTTTACCGATCAATCAGTGTGTGGCAATTTTCGAGGCGTGTTTTGAGTGAGTACACATTCGCGGCATATCCTGCGACGAAATGCTCCAGTCAGAAGATCCTGTATCCATCCACGTGCTATAGGGGGGTCGAATGTCACCACTTTTGTCGTAAACGGAAGTCGGTAACTAAAAGATTGGCAGCGAGACTACGTATACTACTGCTATTCGCCCTTGCATTATAAGGGACGCGAGTACGCGTTTTATGGTTTGCTCAGAAACTCGATACGAAACCACTATGTGGGGTGCTTTTTCTGCTGCATTATTTGTATCATCAGACATGATGCAGGAAACACGACAGCGAGGAATGAAAAAATCAGTTCCTTTGTAATTTCAAGAAAATGAATCAAAACATTGAAAACTATCGTCGTTGTATACTACTGTAAACGTGTTCGTAATTCTTGTTTTACTTGTAAATTCTAAGGTGGTAAATGTAACGAATGATATAAAATGAAACATTTGACGAGCGATTACCAAAAGTCCTAAAAAAATCATATTATTTTACATCAATCCTTACATTTGACAGTTTATGTTTTGGTAAATTTAAGTAAAACCTAAGATTTACAAAAAAATATTCGAACATTTGCAGTAACATATACGCACAAAACATAAAAATAAATGCAGCATAAGGTAACATTTCGAAAGATTCTATCAGCTCATATTAAGTACAACAAAAAATAAAGAAAACAATGCTTAAAGTTTAGGATTTTTAGGCTAATTATCTGCAGTTAATGTTGTTGTTTAAAAAATTTTCTGTGTTAAAAACCACCTAATTGAAATATTATTAGCAATACAGTGAAAAGTTATTCTTGCTTGCTTGAAACTTTTTTTTTATTAGTGTTGTGGTTTATGAGGTATTTTCAGAAATCTGTAAGTACTTGCCGGTCCTATCTCCTGGTGTTGTGTACTGCCATAAGTATGAACATATTCAGGAAGTTATGACCAATATTACTATTTTTATTGGACTAAAAAAATTCCTAATATAAATATGCAAAAGAACTGGAAAGTCGACTCTCGCAATTCCTTTCGTTTAATGTCGAACAACGTAAATAGCATGGCTTTTGGGAAAAATATTTAACTATTAATGAACTCTAAAACAAGTACAAAAACTTGCTATACAAGTGGCATATAAAAGGGTTAGCTACATGTAACATATATAAAAACCCTTTGAACTAGGTTATACCTGAATACCTACTAGGTAGATTGGAATAACGATATTTTTTGTGTGACCTTTTATGCAAATGAGTAGTTATATTGTAAGTAAATGAGATTTACAATGCTATTTGTAGTGATCTCATAATATTACTTAAAAAATGGTTTCGTATTTAATTTAGTGATTTAAACATTTTTTTTTAATTTTTATTCCCTTTTACCTTTTTTCTGCTTTCTCCCCTGTAAAAGAGTTAAAATAAGAAGTTAATAATCAAAACAAAAGTGTGTCGTAAAAATCGTTTATATAATGGCACAAAACGTTATTTTACAAGACTATTTCTAACTATGATGTATAATTTTGATTTAAACAGAAAGCACAATGTGTTACAATGAAAATAATCGTTTACATTAATCAGTCTTCAACGATGGACCCTTTTATATATTTATGTATGTATAATACTATATTAGTGTAAAAACTATGGTAAACTCTACGTATTACTAAATGAGGAACTCCAAGATTTCTATCGCTACTTATTCGTTAAGTTGTATTTATTACGTAAAATAAATTATCAAGTCATGGAAATTTGGTTATTAGCTGTACTGTTGATTTTACAACAAAATACTTATTGTCAACTATTTACACACCTTACGGACTACATATACACGTATAAATAATATAAAATAGCATGCGTTAAAAATAAGAACTAGACAGCACTAGCGAGTCACAAAGAAACAAACAAAGAAAATGATTAAAAAGTTACGGCATTGCACATTATTCGAATGGGCTTTCGCTATGGGATCGGTAGCACGTTGACTAGACAAGTTCAATGGAAAATTAAAAAACAAAAAAACACTCGGTAACTTGAAATAAAAATTTCGTCTTCGCGCGAAAGCACTATGTGTGCGGATTGCGCGCAATGTGAAGAAAAAATGAAACCTTGTCGACACATTGTTCACCACACATGTTGCAAGTAAACGGATTTTTGTAGCCGTGGTATCCCATATGCATTGTATAAAGCACAATATCACCGAATGCTATGTTACAATACTGGCAAGAAAAATTGCCCGGCTTGTTGTTATTCGTCATCACCTCTTTATCATCGGGTTTCGATGACGAATTACTTTCTTCAGCATCTTCGTCAATTTTCAAGGCACCTTCGTCGTCATTCTCGTCGTCGTCACCGTCGAAACTCTCTTGGAATTTCTCTAACTTATAGGCACGACCTTTACGCCTGTTTTTAATCGGTTGTTCTGGCGATGGGGATATATTGTCGGGTTTACTTAAATCTAAAGCACCGGTGTCGTCTTGGCGGACTGGAGGCGTTTCAGATACAGTTGACATTTGTTCGTCTTCTCTGGATTCATCTTCGTTTTCGGCATCAAAACTGTCCCTCTCTTTCGCAAGCTGTTCCAGGTTCTGTTTGAAAAGCAACGGGTTGGCAAGAGGATTCGAAAGAGCTCCCAAGAAAGGATACGGAAATGGTATAGCCATCGGAGGTTGTGATTGTGCGTTCATAACGAATTGAGCGAATTGGTTTTGTAGAAATTTGGCAGGATTACATTCGGGTTCGTCTTGTTTCGAGAAGTTCTTCTGCTTTGGTCCTCGCCGTGTTCCGTACACGTCTATAATTGGAAGCGGGTTCGGGGTTCCGTCAGGGTTCAACACCATGGCAGGTTTATGAGAATATTTGCGAAGATGTAGCTTTAGCGAATGGCAATATTTCGTGGCGTAACTGCAATCGGCGCAACGATACTGGTAGATGTTGGAATGAGACTTCATATGAGAATTCAGCATAGATTTGTTCACGCAAGAATACGAGCATTTGTCACATTTGAATGGCTTCGAACCGAAGTGATTCCTCAGGTGATACTCAAGATGATGTTTGTACTCGGTTACAAACGGACATTTCGGACACGTGAGCAACTTGTCGGCTTTAATATGCGCTTTGGAGTGTTCCCAAAACTCCAACTTCGTAACGGCTACGAAATCGCATTGTTTGCATTTAAAAGTTTTGATTTTTCCATGGGAATTTACTTTCGGCACTCTGATCCCCTGTTCGTCGTACTCGTCCATCTCTCCGTCGGATTTGTTTTCGTCGTCTGCCGAATGTTCGCTGGTAGTCTTGGGCGACAGCATGCATGGAGGAACCAATCCAGATTTTTCCAGGGACATTTGTAGCTTGTGCAACGGGTCGTCATTTTCCGCGTTATTTGAATCTTTCGATTCGCAAGAATGGGAGCGTCTAACGTGTCCAGGTGACGTGGAATCGGTAAGCGTCGAGTTCAGATCGTCGTAGCTGGTAGAATTGGTCGGAGTACTTACTAAACTGGGAGATCTCCGGAAGTTAACTGGCGACTCTTGAACTTCCGGTTGTTGATGACCGTTGGAAGGATTATAAGCGGGATACACTATTGGATTAGAGTAGCAGGTTGAACCCGACGTTGCAATCCTAGATATCACGGAAGAAGAATATAACTGACTAGGAACCGATGACTGAATTTCAGCTGATGATGATGAAGACGAAAACGCGCTTGAAGGGTTGCAATCTTGACTATTTTCACTACCCGGAGATGACGAATGAAAGTCACTTAAACCAGAATTTATGCCCGAATCGTTTCTATCGTCTTCCATAGGCTCTTGCTTCTATCGAAACAAAAAAAAAACGTTTATAGCTGTTGTATGTTACCGAAAATAATATGAATCGTATCAGTACAAAACTTACCATTGCAACGGGGTGGTGCATTTGCCATCCTGGGACAGGTGAATGCGGTTCCATAATTACATTAGGCTGATATCCTCCAAGAGGACGAATGATACCGCCCTGCACGCATGTAGAACTCATATTCCAGCACACTCCACCACCTCTCATATTACAAAGTCCAGAAAATATTTAATAGGCAGTTGTTTCCTGCTAAAAAAGTATAAAAAAAACACTTTTATACTTTGGTACACTACGGACAATTCTAGCGGTTTGTGCGACCCGCACATTAATTGGTGTTATCAGAAAATGTACGAATAAATCGACACAACGAACTAAATGAGTTGAAAATGGAAAATTAATATTAAAACATGCTATCTATGTCCCAAAAAAACAGAACTGTTTTGCCTGATTTTATCTTATCGGCATTTTCATTAAAAAACACGTAGCAAATACCTCCTAACTGAAGATAACACTCGCAACGCTTCGTGGAACTTATCATTTATTGAATCACACGCGTATTTTACTTTCCAAACTTTCACTGGACTTTCTGTTTGGCTTGAAAATCGGTAACAAACTAGTCCGGAAATCTGACCACACCAAATCACTGGCCTTCATGTCCAGTCGTCTCCCACCCTGATATGCCTCCAATTTACCCCTCCTACAGGCTCTACACCCCACCCGAGAGAGCTTTTTCACCACAGCTTTCTAATAAACCATACCAATAACCAATGTTATTAAAGAGCTAACCCATTTTTACAATCACGTTTTGCAGAATTTAAAAACCACCTACCTGTAAGACAGCGGCAATGCTAATAACATTAAAAATAAATTGAAATAAATAGAACCTTTTAGTTGATATACAACAAAAAAAAACTTAGACAATTGCACATCGGCAATGCAATTTACCAAAATACATTACAATTTAAAGATATCATTAATGAAAGCTAAGTCTAGTACCTATTTCGTTTAATAGTAAGCGTTACAAATAGTAAGGTCTTTTTGAGCGGTGCCCAACTATCATGCACTCTAAAAAATTGTTACAAAAAATTACCTCACAACTACCATCTAAAAGGGTAAAGCTGGCATGTACGGGCTGCATGTAGCATCCACAAAAACCCTCAAAGAAAACCGTTGCACAGCACAAAAACTGTAGCCAAAGTTTAAACCCTTTCTAGGACAGTACAACAATAAAAGGTTGTAAAGACGTTTCGGTAGGTACCTGACTTAAACGGTAAAATTTCTATTTGCGTATGCTAAGTTTTCTAGGAAAAGGGGTATTTGGTATTTGCATTTCTAAATTTATTACACCCCGTCTAACAATTCGTTTGTCATCCAAGGTCAAAACAGATGAAAAATATTCTTATGCAAAAAAATTGATGTCGTGTATCGAACGACTTACCAGAACTTTTTTTAAAAAGGCACAAAAACAGATCACAATCGTCAACTTTCCAATTGTTCTTTACATGCACAGTTCAATGGTTTATTTACGAATCTTGAGCAAATGTCACAGTTTTCATAGGCCTTTGAAAGGTATAGGGCTGCAATCCCCACCCCTGTATGCTCACCCCTACATATCCACATGAGGTTGCCGACGAATGGCAAAATAAAAATAAATTCTCAAAACGACGATGTTTGTATTGATTTTCTATCTTTTTCTTTGTCCGAATGGAACAATAAGTAAATTTTACAATAACCGATCCAAGTGTAATAATTACAGATTAGTATAATTATTGTGTAATATGTTGTTATCCCGCAGATAGTTTAAGTATTACTTGTAAACAAACAAAAATTAATACGTTATGACTCGTTTTCTACTTATTTGTTATTCAAGCAATACGCTTTTAGTGGGAAATTTTGTTTACGGATTATTAAATTTAAAAAACTAAACATAGTAGCACCTATGTAGGTAGTTTTCAAAGGTTGTCTGTTATCAATTAATATATGATGTCACTGTGGAAAAGCCTTCATTTCCGGGCAACCTTTACTATTTATAAACTGATAACGCTTTTGTAACAGTATAACACAAAAGAAGTTAAATATGTTTTTCACATTAATCAACTAGCATCGTCGTAGTATAGGTATGTATGTACCTTCCATTTTAGGGAAATTTCATGAATCTGTTTTATGAGTTTATTTTTTATTTGTTTTATTCTGATAACGCTTCTATAAACGCCTGTTTAATAAAACAAATAAAAAAACAAAATTATCTTTTTATAGTACCTAGACCTACTCATTTTAATTATTGCGAGAACAACATCGTATTTATTGCAGTGGTTTAAAAATGACGCAAAATCCCACCAGTATATTGCATATATTTTTCGCTTACGCGATAACAAAAGGTTTCATTTCGAAGCAAATTTTGCATTGTATGAAGTTAAATAAATACAATTTTTGAGAAAATTATTGTTTAGGTACGTGAAAGATACGAATTTTAGGATGTTTCAATAGTAGTAGTAGTCGAGATGCCGCGAGTGAAGAGATATTGGACTTTTTTCTGAAAAATCCATATTTTTAGAATCCGTTTAAAACAGTCTGTCTTTGTTCTACAAGCCGGAGAAAACTGCGCCGGTCTTTGTTCGACAGCCGATAGGTTTTCACCCTTCCTCGTTCGTGATTGGTCACCGCGTCAGGACAGTAATGCCACCCTCTAAAGCTACCCTTTTCCGTTTTTGCTGTTTTCGTCAAAAAAAATGCCACGTCATCTGCCCCAGCTTTGTATTCGCCGACTGGTCATTCTTTTCGTTTTTCTATCATCACACAACTTTGACTCTGGATGCTGTTTTCTTTACCTACATCTAGACAATATTCAATATAGAAAAGAAATTATTCAGAACAAGAATTTTCTAAAGGAAAATAATTGTCGACTTTGGTTTTATTTCATAAGTAGCATATTTTCATCAAAAAAAATTCTTGTTTCAATGAAAACTTTTGTGGAAATATTTGTTTGCTACAACATGAGATACGTCAGTGAGTAATACACGGGCTACGTCTTATCACTTCCTCCGCAATTAAGATCCTGTACCTGATTATTATTGTTTTCATACGCAAATCGAGCCACGAGTAAAAAATGTTTCACTAAAAAAAGAGGCAAATTATCTAAAGGAAGTGATTAAGTAAAGCAGATAATTCTTTGGAGCATTATTAAGTATCGCCTCGATCATTTTTTTTTTATATTTACGTTTTATGACTGATCATGACTTTCACTTTAGATAAATATTAAATACAATATAAAAAATATCGATGTACACGCGGTGTTTTTTTTTTTAATTTTTCAACTATTGCTTGACATTCTGTAAAAAACAAAAAGAAATTATTTTGTAATAGAACAAAAAAAAAACACTTGATATAATGTGTGATGTTTATTAACATTTGAATATTACGCCATTGTCAAACTTATCATTGAGTTGTTTTTTTGTGAATATTATATGAAATATCTATACGCCTATAGTCTTTTTGGAAGATAATTCTGAAAGCATGCAGAAGGCAGATGATAATTTTGGTTTCGAAGAATTTTGAAAAACGTGTTAAAACATCTAAAGTATGTGACTACTTCATAATTTTGACATTTCATGATGATACAACAAAAAAATACTCATCAATGCGTTATCTTCAAGATGATCGAAACGAGTTTTGAGTATCTCTAAGTTCAATTTTAAATGATTCACTTTGTATATACATATATACGGATTTGTCGGTTTTTGCTGCAATTAAATCAAATTTTGTCAGAAGAAAAAAAAAGAAATTGTCTTCTTTTTGCTTAAATACTTCCGATGTTAAAGGATTGGTTACCCTAGACAAAAATTTTCAGTCTCTCTCCAGTCTCTCAGAGTCTTTCAGCGTCTCTCACAGTCTTTCACAGTCTCTCAGTTATTGCCTAGGTGTTTTTATGGATCTCTCATAGCCTCTGTATGAGAGACTCGAACGATAAAATTGTTAATTCAGAGATTATTTTAACCATGTCTATCGAGACACCACTTATTGAGAGATTCGAGTCTTTTGTTCAGAGATTCGAGTCTCTCGTTCAGAGATTCGAGTCTTTCGTTCAGAGACTGGATTCGAAACGAGGATCTCTCTATGAGCGACTCGAGTCTCTCGTTCAGAGACGCTAAACAGTTTTTTTGACAGTCTCTCAACCTTCTCTCTCAGCGACACCAGAGAGACTCGATGAGAGACGGAGACTCGAGTCTCGCTTTCAGAGACTCTGAAAGACTGAACATTTTTATGTAGGGTATTTTTAATATCCTCATCAGAAAAATCTGACTTCTGCATTATAATTTTAATAAAAGTAAGACAAGAGTTGTTAGACAATAATGCTGTTATGTATTACATACCATATAAAACACTAAAGGTGTTATCGGTTTGCTAAACGTATTCTGAAGCACGATGACAGTGACGATAATCGGGTCCAAAGATTCATAAAAGCAGACTAAAATCAAACAGGAATTCACTGGAAAGGCAAGGAGAACTGGGAAGATCTTCTATTGAGGTTTACACTTTGGTATTAAATCAGCTAAGGTCAACAAATATTAACGAAGATTTTGTCTGGTAATAGATAGTAATTGTTCCAATTCCTCGCACATCCTGGAAGATCCTTTTGAAAATTAGGACAGCATATACGATCTTTTAGGCTATCTTTATATTTGGCGGTTAATGAAATACATTGTTTCTTGTTCTGGCTGACGTATATTCATGTTATCATTAAATATATCATCAAAATCACTTGACCTTTGAAATACATAGCTTCGGTAGAAAAACCAAAGTATTACTTTATCTCGTCTTTACACGTTTTTATGCGAGCAGACTAAACTGTTTTTTTATGATTTCAAAGACGTATCAGAATAAATGAAGTAGACCATCTACAAGGAACCTTCTTATTCCTGTACAGGATAGATGCATTACTTTTAAATGATGTTATTTAAAATACTCATTATTATCCCTATCTTTTTAATAGTCGACGGTGAGCATTATAGAAATAAGTAACCTGAATTTCAATTAATTACCTTAACAACAATTAGGCAAATCCCATTACAGAAGAATACGCAAAACATTGTTAGCATGAGTAATCGACACTGTCCTAGTAATTGTATTTCTCCACTAATGATTATTATCATTAAATAGCTTTAACATTTATTGTATCATCGGACCAAAAGTTTAAAAATTAAATTAACCAACGAAGGTTTTCTCGGAACAAGACATTTTTTGTATTTGAAATTTTCAGTTTTCCTTACTAGATTTTAACACTAAATATAAAAAAAGAGAATCTTTATAACTGTTTGAAAATCGATAAGAATCAAATTTCAATTCTGTATTATTGTAAAGGGCAGTTTTTAATCACTTTAAATATGCTTTTCGAGGCGATTTACATATTATATGTGAATTTTGAGTCAATTTAAGTACATAATAAGCATTCAGAGAACTTGACTTTAAGGACATCAATAATACAAAATAAGTATTATCGATCATATTTAAATACTGCCGTTATCTATTTGAAAAGATGTAATTAATTTTCAATTGTGACTGTATCAGTTTAATTAAGGAGTTCTTGACTTACATTTTTTTGTGATAATTTCTTAGGAATATTATCGGGTATCCACTCAATTAATTGTACAAAAAATGAACATTGTTTAATGTTTTCATTAGTTTATGGGAAATGCTGATGTTTCAACGATAGCAAATAGTTAATTTGTAAATGTGCCCCCTGTAAAATGTCTATTTATGAAGAAATAGAAATCGATATTATTTGAAAAAAAAAAATGTTATCGGAATTTTTTGTTGAAACATTTCAACATCAAACATCCGCCCTTACAAGATTATACTATCTAGTGCCATATTTGTCGAGCAAAACCAAAGGGCATTACAACGAAAAAACATTTCTGTTATTTTAAGATAAGCTGTTTATTTGGGAAGTTTATTGTTTGTATATTTTCTGAATTTCGTTTCTTCTCAGTTTGGTGATGAATATTGCCTTTTTCGATAATACGTAAACATTGTTTCAACTGTTTTTATTACAGATACATACGCCAATTGTTTACAATGTTTAGAAATTTTCTATTATTATTACTAATACAATAATGACAGATAGATGTGATGGGATCGTCGTCCGGTAATCTTTCGTAAGGCCAAAATGGCTTTATGAGTTTCTAGAAATAAATTATTATTTGCAAACGGTCTTTATTGTCAGAATGTAAACAACAAACCATCGTCGTAATGAGTCAATATTATTTGAAAGTTTTCTCATGTTGTTATAAAGCAGTTGGAAACACGTAGGCTTGCAAAATAGAGAATTAATTGAAATATAATTAATAGTTTAATTTATTAGGGTCAACAAAGAAAAAACTAGCTAATATACTAAGAATTTGTAATAGGTCATATATTTGTATGTATATGTTTATTATATCTACAAATAGTGCAACGAGAAAGATATTTTTTAAATAAAGTTTGCCTATTGAAGGAAATTTTTTCATAAATTATAAGTATTCCTTTAAATTTTCAATTGCTCAAAACATTTTTAATGTTTAAAGTAACGAAAACATTTAAATAAAAGTTCTGTTATTTGTCTGTACGAAACAGTAAAAGAAAAAGAATTTTCGAAAAATCTACATCATTTTTAACAAAAGAAGAATACTCTTAAGGGAGTCAACATAATCTTTTTTTCTGGTGAAAATAACAAAATTTCGGAATGTACACACTTTGCCGTGAGAATCCATGACTGTAACAAAAAGTGACCGCCCCCGTTCGAGCAAAAATTTTACCAATGCACATCTGCCGAAGTATAGGGTTACTTTACCTACGTGTGGAGAACCATTGTATGCCTCTAATAAAAGGGTGACTGACCCTTCCCTTTAAAAAGAATAAATAGGTAGGAATTATTTTTTCTCATCTGCATCTACAGTTGCTATTTTTGTCGAAAACAAATATTTCTTTTGGGGGTTGTACATGTTCAGGTAGGTAGTAAAGGTAAATTGAGTCGGCCAGTTTTTGTCTCATGCATGTTTTTGAGCATAAAGGAAGGGTTTTAGGTAAAGCTTTCTAGGTACTCAGTTTTAAAAGAGATATAACTTTCTACATTTTTTTTTGTAGAACACATGAGTGCTGTTACTAGCTTACCGATAACTTGGAAATTTTAAAGTAAAATTTAATTTGTTTCTCATGAAACCAATTTTGCTTGCTTGGTATATAAAAAACGAATTGTTTACGATTGACGATATACTTATAAAGCCAGATAACATCTTGTTTTTTTATTACATTTTACACTAGCAAAAAATAACGATAAAGCTCGGAAAATTTTCCACTCCAATTTCTTGACATACATTGACAAAAAATGTAATTTCTTAGCTTATGCTTACAGGTAATTGCAAATTCTTTTAATTTATTACAATTAGTTTTGGACGTCAACAAAATATTTAATTACAAGGGGTGAAATAAACAGGCATTACACCTAATTATAAGCTGTTGACAAACAGACAAATAAATAGTAATTTACTAATATTAAATATTGTTAATTTAAATGCAAACCAGAATTTATTTTTAGTTTCAAAAAGCAACAAAATTTCTGATGTAATAATTGTTTTGAATAAATGATATTCTGTGTTCGAAGTCGTTTATGCCAATTTCAATTTTACATTTTCTAGCTTCAATTTTTTTATATAATGGCGAAAATTGGCAAAAAAATCTATCCCATTACCATAAATCAGTGTAAAGCTTACTTATCATCAATCTAAATTTACAGATTCACCTGACAATGGGGCACCTTACAAGGGAAAAGGTCCCATTCAGTCAGGTAATCGGCAAAAAACCATGTTTTTTATGTTCACTTTACACGCGTTAGTTTCCCTGACGATTCTATAAAGATCAACTGTTCAACGTTCGCAGGGGGAGCTGTAAACTTTTTGTGGTGCACTGGCGGCATTTTATTTAAGGGTAGCGTCAAATAAAAAGTGACTCGGAGGGACGGAACCAATAAGTAACCTACTAAACGTTCGACACCACAAAAAAAGAACCCCCATAAAAAAGCGATACCAAAGATTGTCTCTACCTTTATATGTATGCACATATTTTGTATACATATATAAAGATAGAACCCCTTATAATTTTACGTTTATTGAAGTATGTTTTTAAATGTCTAGAAGTCTATAGGTTTTTAGTTCAACACCTTAACAACAACAATCCTTTTTAGTTTTCTTTCATATTTTCGTATTGCAATCCAGTCTATTTTTTATTATAATGTCTATTGATAGATCTAATGTAAATTCGGTTCCCAACATACA